CAGCTACCACTTCCAGGGAGTGCCTGACTTTTAATAAGCTCTTTGCTACACTGGGATCATGCCCAAAGGCCAACATCACTATCCTGGCCTCCTTTGGAATTACCAAAGTGAGGAAAGGACTCCAAAACAGACCAGTGTTCACTGGGGATACAGAAGAGTTGTCAAATTTTAACCAATTCTTTGGAGAACAGCTATCTTAACATGTTTCCAAAATATTTTTAAAAAGATATACCTTTGGTAGTATAAAGGAGATGACTTACCAATATTAACTGCTTCTTGTCTAAAGACCAACCTTTACTCCGGTTCATTTAAAAGTTTCAAAAGGCATGAAGAATTTTCATTTGCAGCCAAAAGAAAACTGAGAGTAGTTAGATTTTTCCTTTACTTCTTAAAAATAGAGTTAACAAGAATATTTAACTTGGCAAGGTTTCACTGAATGCAGGGACTAGCAATGTTTGTGGGGGCACTTAAATACATGATATGATGCATATACAGTCATAATAAAGGTATCAACAAGACAGGCTAACTATCAAAGAATATACAAAAACTTCCCTTTGGTAAGGTACAGGGGCTCAAAGCAGCCTCTCTGTCCAACAGTCTCCAAGGCCTGTCTCAGTGTAGATGTATTTATGGAAACTCTCAAGACACATTCAATTTTATTTATCATGTTATTCTACTTGGAGTTCCATCTTCAATTTTATGTACCATTTTACATTCAAAAACTGTATGGAAAAATGACCTATCTGCTGTCAGATACCAAATTATTTCTGGAAAAGGTTTTTCTCCCCCTTCCCACTGGCAGCCTCAAGAATTTATGCAAAAGTGCTGTTAGAGATTACCATAAATTGTCCTAATCTGATTATTTTAAAAATTATCTAAATGTTTCTATTTTTACTCTTGATTTTTAAAAATTATTTCATTCCTAACCTATAGCTGCAATTGACTCTAGTTGAGTAGGTATGGAATTGCACTTAACCATGGTATCTTAATGTGTGACTATGAAGAAATCACAGCCTTTCAGTTTCAGAGGGGAAAAAATAGCAATCCACTTCTAAATAAACTTTGCCCAAAAATAATGCCTTATGCTAGGATTGCCGTAAATTGGGTGTCAACTCATATATATATATATATATATATATATATATATATATATATATATCAATGACAATTTGCTCTATCGCCTATCCTTCTTTGGGAAAATAATTATTCACCACATTTAGTTTAGCAGTTCTGGAGCATGATGTCCTGTTTCTTTGGATGCCAAAACACTCTTCATGTTGCACACCAGTCTTAGCTACCTTTCAGTATGTGTCCCTTTACTTTTTAATAATGTTAAGTACTGATATGTATATAATATCAATAGACAAGAAACACAGTTAGAATATCAAATCACTTCCAAACAACTATATACTGTACATATGGTATATTTATATATATAACAGAAGGGAAACAAAAGCAGTCAAAAGCCAACAAGTGAGCATTCCTCTACTGATTGACTACCAATCATAATATTCTGTATGAATGAGAAAAAAGTACAATGCTCCTCAGAGCTCATCAGATAAATGTACTATATGCCACATAACCTGCATGTTATTTGAGATAATATTAAAATATCTCCTCCCAACTTGGTAAAAATCCATCTAGCCATGTAGAGCTGATGCTGTAACAAGCAGTCAATAGACTGACAAAAACATATTGATATAACCTGAAGTGCATTCCAGACTCGATACAAAATCGATTTTGGTACACCACTGAGTCTATATTTTAAGTCAGTCCATCCCAAACATATCTTCCAGCACAGGTCAAATGCACCCAGGCATCTTTACCAGATGTGGTAACAAATACAAAAAGGACAGGAACTTAATTATATGCAAATCTTTGGCTTATTTAATATTTTACTCCCCAGATTTGTAAATCAAATTTGTCACATATATTTCTAAGTGAGTTTGAATATTTTTTTTTGTAAAGTCCTTAAGCATAATGCAATAAAACCCTGACCTGACCAGGCCTTCAGGAAAATGATGTCTTCTAGGCTGCAGTTCCACTATGAAGTCAGCCGATTTCCCAGCTTAAATATTATCAGCTGACTTTTCAACCCAATCAAGATACACTTATGCACTTATAAAACACTTGCATCCAGGCCAAGGCTCCTTTTACTTTCCTGCCTTCTATGTAAGACAGCTGACGTAAACAGACCCCTGTCTATCCTTGACCTCACATCTGCTTCTAGCCCTTCCAACATTCTACTGCTGCCTTCAGATGCTGCACCTTCATTACCTCCCTGATCTTGTCCCTGGCCTTCCAAGTCTTTGTGTGCCCTTTATAAGCACATCCACCCACATCCTACAACCCTACAAAAACAATTTAGGTCAGTGTGAAATTAGCAGAGAAGGAACCAATTTCACTGTGCAGACGATTACATATCGCATTCCGGAACTGTTTCAAGCCCTGGTTGGTGCTACACACACAGCAGAGGTTGGTCTTGAATTGATTCCAGTATCTGCAGTATCAATAGCTTCGTGGTCATGGAGGAAGAGGTGCTTTTTTTCCTTCTACCCCTCAATAATATTCATGGGTGCTGAAGCATTCGTCCCTAAGCGGTTTGGCATGTGAACCGCTGCACTAATTCCTTTTGAAAAGGAAGTGCACAATTGGAAGAATCTCACAGAGTGGCCTAAGGTATTAGAACCTTCGGTTTACTTAAATTAAGATTATGAAGGCTAAGTGAGAAGATGAAACAAAATATCCCATCAAATGTTTGATGGTGTTAATAAAAACCCAAAACATGTACGTATTTAGCAGGATATAAAATAAATTTGCATTTTCACATCAACAGAAATTAATAGCATCTAGGTACACGTACTGCTCTCAAGCCAGGTGTCCCCTATTCTGTATATCTGTATTTCATTTTTTTAGCCTAAGTGGAGTATGTTACAGTGACAAATGCAAGATACTCCACTTAGGCAGAAAAAAACAAAATGCAAAGATACAGAACGGGGTACACCTGGCTTTAGAGCAGTATGTGTGAAAAAGATCTTAGGGTCTTCATGGACAACAAGTTAAACTTGCAGCAATGTCATGCAGCAGCAAAAAAAGCCAATGGGATTTTGGCTTGCATCAATAGGAGTCTAGTGTCTAGATCCAGGGAAATCATGCTACCCCTCTATTCTGCCTTGGTCAGACCACATCTGGAATACTGTGTCCAATTCTAGGCACCACAATTGAAGGAAGATGTTGACAAGTTGGAATGTGTCTAGATGAGGGTGACTAAAACGATCAAAGGTCTGGAGAACAAGCCTTATGAGGAGCGGTTTAAAGAGCTGAGCATGTTTAGCCTGCAAAAGCAAAGGCTGAGAGGAGACATAATGGCCATGTATAAATATGTGAGAGGAAGTCATAGAGAGGAGGAAGCAAGCTTGTTTTCTGCTGCCCTGGAGACTAGGATGCGGAACAATGCCTTCAAACTACAGGAAAGGAGGTTCCACCAGAACATTAGGAAGAACTTCCTAACTGTGAGAGCTGTTCAGCAGTGGACCTCTCTGACCCGGAGTGTGGTGGAGGCTCCTTCTTTGGAGGTTTTTAAGCAGAGGGGTGCTTTGAATGCGATTTTCCTGCTTCTTGACAGGGAGTTGGACTGGATGGCCCATGAGGTCTCTTCCAAAGATTTTTCGTTAAAAAAAACCTTTCATTTATATTTTTTAAAATATAGGATTTATATATTTATATATTTATATTTATATATATTTTTAAAAATATAGGATTTATTGCTCTTTTCACATACTCAGAGAGCTTTCCTGTTGAATTTGCTCAACACATTAAGTTGTCGCAACACACAGTTTGGAAAGCTCTGACCTAGTGGTTCCTAGAGATGACCTATTGATAAAACATGCAAAAGTGGTACCCACAAATGTGGAGGGGCACCTGTGCATCCATTAAGGTCTGTTGTGTCTGTACAACTTACCGGAAAACACTCTTAAGCAACATGACTGAAAACGCAGGATAAGGACAACTATTTTTTTTTTAAAAAAAAGAATTAAGTCTGCATTTTGGGTAATTAATGTTTAACAAGGCAAAAGTTTAGATTCCAATCTCTACTTTAGGCTGTAGGTTGAACTAAAAACTAGAGAACTATCAGAAAATCAAGACAAACACCTAACCTTAATTAATCAAAATAGCAGCCTTGTAATTCAGAACTCACTTAGTCAGCTTTGTCAAGTAATAACTACAACAAGCTCACCTTCAATTCCATGGGGACAAATCCCTGGGCATAATGGCTCCCAAAACACATGGACCGTGCTATAAGCCATTCTCTTTTATCCCGGTTGCAGTGTAAAGGCTGTGCACGTGGCTACTTCCCATATAGCCCCAGAAAAGTAGCCAGGGAAGTCTGCCAGCCTGCATAAAATAAGAATGAATTCTGGCAGCAAAAATATGGACTGAGGGAAGAAGAGGGAATGTCATCACAAAGGGATGTCCAATCTCGATATAACTGGATTGATACAAAAGGAAACATTAATTGTGCAATTGGCATACAATATGCACATAGCTGGAAAAGCTAAGGAAAACTAAGATGTGAATTCAACTTGGGTGACTCCTTTTCATTTATAATACATTTCACTGCTGATTACAAGCAGACTTTGACACGTTCCTACAACAAGGAGGATTTCAGTCTCACGGTTCCCAGACAGAAGCTGACTGGGGGAAGGGAGGAATGCCACGGCAGACCAGTATTCTCACATCACAACAAGGACAAGAAAATCCAAACCCAGAACCACCCTGCATTGCAGCCTGCAATTTCTTCTACTGTTTTATGACCACTAACAGTCTTCATTATGACCTGCCTCTTGCTGAGAAATGATTTAAAAGATCTTAAACTGGGAAACATGTCTGTACCGTGTTCCATTCCCGGTGACAGGAGATTATTAACTTAGTGAGAGAAACAAAAACTTGCTTGTTAGAGGGCACAAACACGACAAGTGTTCTGCTTGAGAGCTCCGATGCTGAAGTAACATCAAATGAAAGCAGTAGATGGAAACACATGAACTGTAGCTTCAGGCTGAGGTAATATCAGGTGCATCTCTACAGCCTCAGGGCTCAACTCCTACACTTTTAAGTCCCTCCCATTGAAACAGCCTCCTTCAGTTTCACTTAATCAAGCAGCGGACAGGTAGTTCTCTTTCAGCACTGACAGCAACAGTTTAAGCACCTCGAGCAACTGGATCCCTGCTCCCAAATTCTCAGGTAAGTGGACTTTTGAATCAGCTACAATCTGAAAAATTGTAATGGTAAAAGCCATCTATTTAATTGGGGGAATGCTAGGTAGCTATCTTTGCTGGATTACTTTTGCACTTTCCTTTTCTAACACAGGTGCATGACTTCAGAAACTATATATTTAGGGAAGAGAAGAATTAAAACTTTATTGAAAAGGGTCTAGTTTACTGCAGTGCTTTTGTTCACCTTTCAAACACGATGTAGAAAAACATTAAGAATCAATAGTATTACTGTATTTATTCAAGTTTTGTTCTTTGTATTGTGTTCTATTTCACTGAGGTTTTACCTGCTTTAAAGATGCAAGTTAGAAACCATGAAGAACCTTCCTATATTTCTTAATTTTGCTCAGCTGTCAAGCCAGTAAACCAAATTAATCTGTTACAGCAAAAAAAAAAAAAAAAGACAAAGAGTCCTGTGACACACTGAAGTCTAAGAAATGTACTGTGTCACAAGCTTCCACCTGCTTAAATGGCCTCGAGTCTATGAACTATAATAAATATCCTATCATTTAAAGTGCCATGGGACTGTTTGTTACTTTGACTCAAACTCAGGCCCCTTCCACCCAGCTGAATAAAATCCCACATTATCTGCTTTGAACTGAGATATATGGCAGTATGGATTCTGATAACCCAGTTCAAAACTGATATTGTGGGTTATTCTGCCTTGATATTCTGGGTTATATGGCTGTGTGGAAGGGCCCTCTGAATCCCATTACTTTAATTTTCATAAACGTGTCTTCAAAATAAAGCCATATTGTACATAGGTGTGTGTGTGTAATTTTTCTGATTTATCCTTGTATATAAGAATGAAAATGAATAAATGATCAGCTATCTCATTAAATTGAACATCATTTTTAACGACTTTTAAAAAGAATCACCTTTTCTTGTTTGAAAAGCTAGAACCATATGTTGGCTACACTCCTGAATATTAATTCCCCTCTCTCACCTCAATCTCTAGAGAATGTGTCCTTTTGTTCACTTTTGTCAAGCATAAAATTTTCATTAGAGCATATGTTTTAGTTTGGAAGACTAAAAGTTCTAAAAGAGAAGAGCAATTGGAAAATACGAAAGGGGGGGGGGGGATCCAGAAGTCCCAGTCCTTGCAAAATGGTAGGCAGGTGACAATGGCATGATCTTGTATTATGCAATAATGCCACATCACAATATTTTAATCACAGCATGCCCGTCTCAATGCTCCACCCCAATGAGGACTCGTCAGTCAGATCAATATCACCAAAAGAATGCTGCAATAGCAGCCGAGCGTGTGCGTACTAATGCTGCTCAAAAAATGGTTGCGCAGCCATTCATAGCTAAGTTGAAGTAAGCAAGATAATTATACCTGTGCCTGCCCTTTGGATTTTTCTTAAGTAGGTTCTACATATTAGGGCAACAGTCACAAGAAAGGAAAATTGAAATCTGCTACTAGTTTTGAAACTTTATAATTTCTTGTAGTGGCATATAGAAATAAGGACAGTTTCACCAAGTAGACTAAAAGGAATTGCCATGGTGAAAGGGAAACACTTAATCCAAAAGTTCTTAGCTGAAATGTTCAGTTTGTGTTGCTTTGCATTACTTTTTATTGCAAAAACGTTCCTAACAAATTATAGTAACGTTCCAAATTTAAAGGCAGATGACATAGTATATTATGTATATATGGCTTAAATAGAGCATATCTAACAGACTGATATTCCTCGAAAGTTTATCACACTGAATGAAACAGGGTTTATGTCCAATAAAGAATGTATGGAAATAAAACACAATGGGATATGCTTATGAATGAACTTCTAAAGGATTGTGCTATTCCATTTAATATATGTCCAATCCCATTTCCACGAAAATGACTTATCCAGAAAATGAGCCCGAGCATGATTTTTCAGGATTTTTCAGGGTGCTCGAAATATAAACACTCTTTCAAAACTAAGTCCTAGTTACAGCTCATTAAAAATCAATTTGGAAAAATAAGACATTTCCTGAAAATAATACCCAAGGTATCTTTTGGAACAAAAATAATATAAGGCCTTGCCTTATTTTGGGGGAGACAGGATTTTGCTCTTCAGTAGACTAGTTGAGGGTGAAAATAACTTTGAACAAGGGTTAATTGCTAAATGTTCTGCTGGTTGAAAATCTATATTTTAGTAGAATCTGGTAAACTAAGTTATCAGTATGGCATTTTTCATCTAAAAGAAAGAAATTGTAGCCAACCACATATCAACTGTGACACATAAAACTCCAATGCTGCTTTTAATCCATCTTACATTAATAGAAATATAGTTAAGCAAAGAAACTTGGCTGAATAATCTGTTGTTCTGTTCCTCAAGAATTAATGATGCAAATGTTAACTCCTTAAAATATGAATCTATGTCCAGTAAATAAAACAATAATGTATCTCAATACATTAGCAAACCCAATAAAATGTCTCTCAAACAAATATTTTCTTTCTATTACATTACATGTTTGTATAAAAATATAAAGTCAAATGGTTGATATTATCAACCCGGTAAACCTAGGAGACAGTGTGTTGTGACAACAAAGATCACATTTGTACCAAGGCTTACAAATCAGCACTAACGCACAGTATGTGCAGACTGAACTCACTTTAGTTATTTATTATTACCAATATTCAAAGTGCAATCTTTGAAAGTGTTTGCTTTGCTATTCATTATTTCTAATTTTATTATCAAAATAAATGTGTGACCATATAATTGATAATAACTATACATAAAGAAAAGAAAGCAAAATTTGATTATTGTTTTATAAATCTTAAGTAATTTCAGTGGTTGGGTTAAAAAAAACTCATACTCTGGGACTAGAAGGCACCACACCTTTGTATTTTTCAAACATCAGGACCAAGAATATACTAAATGGAAACTACTTAAAACAGAGTGCTCAAAGAGGTCCACTGAAAGAAAAACAAAACATTTATTGTGGCCATCTTTTGAATAATTTGATCCCACTAAAAAAAACGCACCAAAAATAGACCTTTACAGAAGCTCTATAAAATTCTGCTTTACAGAAAATAAATGTTGCCATAAACCATCTATTTGCACAAAAATGCTTTCTCTCAATTTCTTTATATATAAGTATGTGTACGTGTTTGTATGGGTTTATATATATACTATTTTATATATAATTACTATTTTGCTATTTTTTAAAAAAAATCAGTTTTTTATTATATGCAGGAGTGCTGACTGTCTAAAGTTGTAAAAATCTGGCACACATGATTAAATGAATGTAGTTCCTTAGCAAATTTAGAAAAACCTGACTAAAATAAATTTGTTTTAGAATAATATGGGTTTGTGTTTAACCAAATCAAGCTACTCTCAATTTTCACAGTAACAATGCTGAGTTTTTAACATTTAGAACCCCAAAAGCAGTGGGCAAAACCCTTTTAACAAAAGCCACCAGACTTCCCTGTTAAATTAACAGGTAGTATTACTGTAGTTTCGGGTAACTCAGATACAGTATATGGTTTTGCAATAGTCATCATTTTGATAATGGTGCTTACAGTTCATGATGAAATCATCAGTTTTTAGATCTTTGCCATAACACATCCTATAAAATCATGAGAACGTAACTCAGAGAGATTCTCACGCCTTCAGAATCAGCAAACAATGGGACAAGTCGATACAAGCCCATCTGACTTATCTGCCGAGAAAATCACCAGCTTGTATTAGAAGTATCCACTTGTTTCCTTTTCTAAGTGAAAGCAGGCAGATTACTCCTCTATAAATCAATAGGAGATACCTGACTCTGATTCATACCTGGTAATACATACTAAAACAAAAACTGAATACAAGGTAATTTAAATATCAATACACTCATATAACCAACCAAGGGACTGGCAGGAGGATACCATTTTAAGCCCTTAATATCTGGCTTGTTACGGGGTGTTGCAAGGTATTCACACCGGTTAATACTTAAATATTTGCTTAGGCTGCTCAAAAAGCTTGTTTGCTCTCTAGTAGAGCTAGGTCAGCTGTGCAGGATGGACTCAATTCCACTCCACCCTACTTCTCCCAAGCAAGGAATCTCTTCCTCTTTCCCCAACTGGCTAGACTGGATTCTGTTCAAGCTTCTCCTTCCATTACTACGCCTTTTCTTTTCCTTGTCTCATCCACCTACAGCTCTCCCTCCCTCTGCTTTCATCTTTTCCCAGTTACATCCCAAGTGGATGCTCCACCACTGTTGCTTAAACGAGTTCTCTTTAATTAATGCAACAGGAATTTCAGGTAGTCAACACCCTTGAACTTCAGGTCAGTTAATTAGGGCTCTCCACAGACAGAGGAGCCTTTCATTAGGATATTCATGTTTATGAAGGCTTGACCGATTCTTCTGTGTTAGCTTCATTTTTCCCATGATCATAATTTGTAAATTTAGGAATAAGCAGTGAATCAGTCCAGTTTATTGATGACACCAAGCTATTCAAGTACAATGAAATGAAAGCCAAAAGTGAATAATTCTGCAGAGGAGGTGAATGTCTAATAAAAGGGGAAACAAGATTCAACAGAAGTATCAAGTGATGCTGTTAGGCAAAAAATCCAACATTACTTATAAACCAATGTGGTATTTCTTAATTAGTTCTGACTTACACAGAAAATAAATGTTGAGGTTGTGGTAAAAATTATCCTTTGAATGTGCTGTAGGGAAAGAATGAATTCCATTTTGGGAAATAATAGAATAGGGAGTGAAAATCGGTGTTGCCAATATTATAATGTCTATGTATAAATCTATGATGGGCTGCCAGAAATGTGGCAATGGCTTTTTGAAAGAAGATTAGACTTATAACAGAGGGAAGGCACCACCATCATGCCTTGCTTACTAGCTTTTCAAAAGCTGTTGGGACTTCTACAGTATAAAGAAATTATTCTGCTACAAAAAACAGAACGTAGGAAGAAAAAAATATAATATATTTGAAATAATAGGTATCTTCTTTTCAGTTCTCAGATTCTAGTACTTCTAACCTTAATTTTTGTATTGCAGTTACCTGTGGAAAGTGCCGTTTTCTCCTGATGACTTCCAGAACTGGCTTCAAATCAAATCTTTTGAGAATCTCATTTATAAATTAGAAGGAAGTTTGAAGAATATACATTTGACTGAAACCAAATAAAATCACCATTAACAAACTGGTGTAATTCCAAGAATAAAAGGAAGAAGATGAGCATGATCAAAGAACGTAAGCCAAAGAAACCTCATTATATCCCGAGACCGCCAGGAAAGCCATTTAAATACAAGTGCTTTCAATGCCCTTTCACCTGCAACGAGAAATCACATCTTTTCAACCATATGAAGTATGGGCTTTGCAAAAACTCAATTACTTTAGTGTCTGAACAGGACCGAATTGTCAAGTGTTCAAAATCAAATTCCTTGGAACCAAAGCAGATCAATGAAGCAGAATCTGAAACAAAACCAATGTCTTCTAAATCTCTCTCAAATCTTGATTCTAAACCTCAGTATCTTTTTGCCAAAGATGATGCCAAGGAAAACATAGAAGTTCAAAACCAAGCAATAAGTAATGGACAAAAAGCATCAGTTCAGAAGGAATTAACTCTGATTGGTAACGAAGATGGCAATACAGCTAACATACAGCCTGGCCTTGAGGGTATTGTAAGACCTTCTGCTTTTGTTCCAGTAGAACACCGACATGGTAAAGACAATAATGATATATCTCAGTTGCCATCTTTTTCTGATTCAAACAAAAGCACTCCTTACCATATGAAGTCAGCATTTCATGCTCCATGGAAAACAGGTTCCGCACTTATTGCGCCAGATTTTACTAACAAAATTCCACCTGCAAAAGGGTTTAACTCTATTCCATCTTATATGCATCCTTTCATCCCCGAATATTCACCTTCACTCTATGAACATGGATTGGCTATCTATGCACCTTACCTTCTCCCAGGAAACACTCATGAGTGTGATAGTCCAGTGCTCTCTGTCTACAGTTCTCACGATCAAAGACATTTTCTTCCTCATCCTGGACCACTTTCTAAACCAATGAATCCTGCAACATATGAACACTACCGTTTATTCCAGCAGTATCATCCTAATCCACCGGTACCATATGGATTCAGCAGACCAACAGAGTCAGCATTTTATAGGCTACCGCACATTACAAGTATTAACAGAGATCCAAGTTCCCATTTAATGGAAGACACAACCTTGCTGTATCCAGCATCTTCCAGTCCAGCTACTCTACATTCAATAAATACTCATAGAAAAGCAGTTGACTATGAGAAAGAAATTCCTATGGAGCATGCCAAAAGTCAATCCAAAGAGGACCAAAATGAGAGAGAAAATGCCAAAATGAGTCCTCGTGCTGGAAGCGCAGCCACAGGGTCTCCAGGGAGACCCAGCCCAACAAACTTCACTCAGACAAGCAATGGCACTTGTGAAGGTCTGTCTGACCTTTCCAGCAGGTCATCTGCTATTAATATTAACAAATACGATCAACCTGAAGGTTTTACAGCGTTCAGGCCTGTAAGGAAAACTACAAACCAGTCTACCTTGCCTCTACCACAGGAAGCAAGTGAAAATCCACCCAGAAGGTAAAAGCAGCACTCTTTCTAAGTTATATTTTCAAATCTCTACTGAAAAAACAAACATGTCTTTAGAATACATCACACAGGGACTCCCAAGGACAATATTTCATTACATGTCAAACTGGTAAAACAGTCTATGTAAGGTGTCAGCATATGTTTGTGGTTAAAACCCCTTATGCCAGGGCGGGTATAATAAATCCTTAAGCTGTTTTTGTGAACCCTAGGTTCCCTCCCCAGTTAATTTATTTCCTCATGATTTCCCCCATTTTGATAGAAGAAACACATCAAAAGTGGTTGTGATTCTATAAAGCAAGGTGTACCTTCTACAGAAACCTTTCTGACATTCAAGATAGTTTATACAACAGGTCTTTTTTTAAGGGTAGTTTTTACTTCTATGCCTGATTGTTGAAACTGGCTGACTTTATTGTTGCTTCTGGAGTTATATAGCATAGTAGAAATGGTAGTGGCAAAAAGTATTATCCTTCTCTTAGATCAGTGATTCTCAACCTGGGGTCCCCAGATGTTTTTGGCCTTCAACGCCCATAAATCCCAGCCAGTTTACCACCTGTAAGGATTTCTGGGAGTTGTAGGCCAAAAACATCTGGGGACCCCAGGTTGAGAACCACTGTCTTATATCATCATTATGGGGCCCTAAGCATGCATGCTTCCCCTTTGTTAGACATTCACCCTCATGTGATAATTTTGCTTTAGAATTGCTTCATATAGTATATCATCTGTTCTTTTCTCTGTTGTATTCTCCACTTAGTCCACATTTGAGCAATCCTTCTACACGTTCATTTAGAAGTATGTCCCTCCCAAATAAATAGAGTAATGCCTAAACAAATTGGATTGGGATTTCTGCCTTAGTTTATCAAATGTTCAGAGATAGGATTGCTTTTTAAGTTGTTTTTTATCAGTCTTTAAAAATATTTTTTGCCCACTGGGACACTCTAAGTAGCATACAATATAATTAATATTTTGGATTCTTTCATTTTAAGATACTTAACGTGATGCCAATACTTGAATGAGAAAAGGCAATATTGTTTCAAATAGGATTGAAACAAGTGGCAAATATCACCACTTTTATTCACCTATGAAATACTAATAAGATTAGTACTGAAATCAGTATTCCAGGGAAGAAGGGTCCTAGAGTATATATGGGTTACTGCAGAAAAGGCCAGAACTGTGCTACCTCTGAGAGAAAAAGCAGGACCTCTGTAAATATAAAAAAAGAAATGATTACAATTGGCTACACATATCAAAACTTATGTTTTGAAAGAACAGAAGGCAATTTACTGCTCATCTCTCAATGAAAACACATATTATTTTGTGCTTTAAAAATTCTGTCACCCATTTCTAAAAAAGGCCACCAAAGTGGATATTTTACTATTGTTAACACATAGCCAATCTTAATTCAAGAAATCTATGGTGACTTAAATTGGGACAATTTATAAATGTTGACTATTCCTTATTCATTGTTCCAAAATTTGGTGGCTGAGATAGTGACAACTTTGTCTTCTGGTGGTTTAGTGCATGCAACCTTTGTTTCATGTACAAAATCATATGAAACATATAAGAAATTTGCATTTAGACTCTCCACAAAGACCCGTTATTCTTATATATACAAACACAAGTATTTCAAAATCCAAATAAATTGAAACTCTGAAATCCAAAACATTTCTGGCCACAAGCATTTCAGATAAGGGATACTTAACCTATATTACAATATGTAGCACAAGTAATGCTCAAAACACATCATGACAATTTGACAAAAACTGAAACTCTTAATTCCTATGTAATGATTTAATGCCAGGTTTCTGAAAAACCAACAGAAAAGTTGTCCATATTAACAAATGTATTTCATATGAACACAAATGAATTTGTATGCATATAGGTGGCCTCTGTGATCCCTTCCAATGCTAAGATTCTGTGATCCTGTTCTGCAGAACAACCTCAAACATTCCTATGCCATAATATTTAAATAAAAATACTGAAATACTGTTATTTTTATTTAAGCATTTTTTTTCTAATTACATAATAACCTTTTGATTTTTTTTCTTTTTCCTTGTAATAGTGATGTCACTAGCGAAAATGAAAAAATGCAACATGCAAGTGATGGCGCAGAAGAGCCTTTGTCCAATTCTGATGACGACATTGGGATTGCACCACTTAATCTCTCCAAGAAGCCAGATACGAATATAACTCATGAACATATGTACAAAAACACTTTGCAGCCGGATCATCAGAACTTCATGGAACTCCAGGAAATGCCTCTGAATCTCTCAGTAAAAGACAACTGTAATACAAAATCACAGAGTCCATCATACGAAGCTGAAGACAGTGAATCTCTTGAAAATGAAAGCAAAAGTTTGGGAGCAGAAATATGCAACTCAGCAAATCACACAGATAGAAGCTCCTTTGTGCAGTCTCCTGTTGAAATGCAGAGGAAAGATGTGCAGGAGCTCAGGACAGTTGACAGTTGTGATGAGCAAAAACAGACTGCAGCAGTTGCTCTGTGTCAGTTGGCTGCCTATAGCCCTGGTAAACTCCAAATGGAGTCTGTGGAGAAAAGTAATCAGGACAGCAGCCCTCAATTTACCGATTCTACCCCTGAAGCATCCGATATTCAGGATAATCACTGCAGTCCAAAGCCAAAAGGACAAAAAAGGACCAATCAAAGGGAAATCTCTAAACTCCAGCAAGGAACAAAACGAATACGAATGAACGAGTGCAGTAGAGTTTTTACCTTGAGAAAGAGAACCAGAGTTTCATGATGTTCACCTTCTAATGCACTCTCATGGTGACATGAAAGCGTGATCGCCAAGCATCAAAGGGACATTTAAAGTCCCAGTTATATGAACTCTTTAATTTTGTATTTATGTTTGAAGGTATAACTCAAATATCTTCAGACTACAGAGAAAACATTTAAATACAAATGGAAACAAATAACATATTTTTAAAATGCACTATGTCAGAATGACTTTTACATTCCCTTTTATTACCAAAGGTGTAGTCTGTAATAATATTAATAATATCTAACTTACAGGATGAGTATCAACTCTCTGTCTTATTTTGTTCTCGTATCTTTTTTATTTTATAACAGCTTTTGTCTCAGTTTTTCTTCTGCAATTTATTTAAGCTTAAAAACTTCTACTTGTCTTTTAGAGCTTAAATAGTCATTGTATTTTAATTGAAGATATGCTTTGATAACATTATCTGAGAGCTCTTATATCCTTGCTGTTTCCTTTCAAATCCTTGTTGACATACTGGTTTGCATCCGTTTTATACATGATTAAATGGCAGAATGGACAATTTTTATGCCTTAAATTAGTCAATACTAAACTGACATGAAACTGGTTTAATGTTTTCATTCTAAATATTTATGCTGGCTTGACTTACTAAGGTTCAGTAATGAATTATTGTCAATACAGTGTATAAAGCTTTATCAACAGAACATGAAGACACTACATCACAAACAAGTGTGCTTATTAGCCCAGAGACACTTAGGATGGTATGATTCCATTTTTGTTGTGAGCATCATTGTAAATGACTTGTTGTCTAAGTGCAGCCAATAACCCATTGTACTTCCATTGTGCAAACAAAAAATGAAAACCACACCTTAAAAATTAAAAATTAAGTTAAGTCAGGTCTTGAGATTGAGTTTTTGAAAGGAAGTTCAAATAGCAGATGTTTGAACACAAATGCTTTTTTAAACAACACCCTTGGAAAACTCCAGACTGAGGGGTTATTTATTTTAATTAAAAAGAACACTGATGTGGAAAGTGTTATTTCTATCCTTTGCATCCATACTATATTGTAAGCATTACAATAATAGTTTTCAAGGCTTTGTGGCTGAGGGACAAATTGATATTTTGTTATACTGCTGAAAGTAATTTTCTAATGCAAGAGTTATAAATATAGATTTGTTTTCTACAGTAAATTGAAATGTATTGGGGAAATTGTTATGGCAGAAAGAGAAATGTTTATGTTACTTTTGGTTTATTATGTGTCTTGCATGAAGAAAGTAAACCCAAAATAAATTATACAAAAAAATGCACATCTGAATTTATTCTATATGCAAGCATCAAGTATCCCTCAATAATACTCCTTTAAAAATGTATAAATCTAATTTAAATGTCAGTGGTAGCATTTAACGTTCAGCTGAGGATGAACAGAGCAATTTACTTTAGGCTCTGGTCAATTATGCATCTATTTAATCCATTTCCTCCTGCCACCACATCAATATACAATTTTTCAATTATCTGTACAAAAATCCCATATAAATACTTAGTTACAAAGCGTTTTTGTTATTTCACAAAATCCACAATTACAGTTTATGTCATCTTTACATATGCATTAGGAATGTACTGCATCCTAAAATATTGAGTTTTAAATGCATTTTCATATGTTATTTTGAGCAGTAGCTAAACCTCAAACATTCAGAAAAATGTAAAACAAGCTGAGATTTCTGGGAGATGCATGGCTTTAGGGAGGAAATTTTTGTAGAGGGAGTGGGGTGGGGGACTTAAACTGCAAACTGAGACACAAGAAGAAATGGCTGCAAGAAAAATCATACCCTAAAGAAATAAACAGCAAAAAAAGCAAAGAAAATACTAAATTTTTGAGAAGTTGAAATTTAAAATGCTATTTGTAACAAAATAAGTAAAAGGATATGCCATAATCCAGCCCAGCAAAAAAAAGAAAGAAAAAGAAATATGCTCATCCCATTTCAGAAACAAGACAAGAAGGGGTATAATAAAATTCCCAAATTTAGAAACTTCAAACTGGAAGTGCAGGCACATTTTTCCTACCAAACACATACCTGACATTGCATATGACACAAAGAAGAGATTCAGATGACACTTCCAGACATATCAAAGTCCCAAGACGAATCAGGATATAAAGTCCCAATTCAACTCAGGACTTTGTCTCGACTCCAACCCCCAAACCCGGGCTTTCCCTTGAGGGGGCGGCTAGATGCTATTCTGGGTCAACCAAAGGTTGACCTGGGAGGGCATCTAGCCACTCTCCAGCCCCTCATTCCCTCCCTCAAAACTTACCTGAGGGACCTGCCAGCCATGCAGGCTCCTATGAAGAGCTCTATAATTGCATCAGAAGGATGCTTCAGGAGGTGGGGTAGGAATTCCCCCCCCCTCCCAAACGCATTATTCTGACATTACTACAGAGTTCTCCAGAGGGGCCTGCATGGCTGGCAGGCCACTCAGGAAAGTTTTGGGGGAGGGGATGGGGGACTTGAAGAGGAGGAAGGGCACCATCCCACCCATCCGGGCTTTTTGAAAGTTCGAAGAAGTGGGATGGTTGTGGGGACTGACCCCTGGGACTGCGAAAGCAGTCCTCAGAGTCAGTCCCTACAGGGACCTCACCTTTAAAGATCCAGACCTTAACTTAAGGTCCAGATCTTTCAAGGTGTTTTTTAAACCTGGATTAAATTGAATGAATTTGGTTTACTCCAGGTTGAAATGGATTAGCCTGAAACATCATCTGGACACCTCAGAGAAATAATGTAATGTGCTAGGAGTCAGATTCCTGGAAGTAGGATCATTCAATTCATGTTAGCATACAATTTATTATAATTTGCAGAATTCACTGGTATCAAAGAAAAACCATTGCCACCCACAAGAAACAAGGCTAGATACTTAGCGTGCACACATCACTAAGAATTGACCAATCAAAAGCTGAGTAGCGCCCACATTCTATAGAGATAATCAATGAACTGTGCATGAACCTAGACCTCACAACAAGTTAGCTCAACGAACAAAAGATCATTACACATTTATGCAAATAAATGCAGGACGTGATGTCGTGATTTTATGTTTTCCTTCTAAAAAAATTTCATAGCTTACCCTGCTTGGCAACCCAACAGAAAACCCATGGGTTGGGAACCATTGGTATACAGTAATGTCCTATTTAAAAAGACAGGTTGCAGACGCAGACGCAGCAACAAGTCCCACCAGCTGCCTTGCAAAGGAATTCTGCTGCCTTGAAGACAGAAGCAAAGTAGCTGATATGCTTCTCAGCAGGGATTCAGATATACAGTATACTGTCTATTAAGTGAATCCAAGATGGGTTGGATCCATGGATTTTGAGTCCATGGATGTTTAGACATGTTTAGACTTTTTGGAAGATGAAAATAAAAGGGGGGATGAGTAATGGCAGCAAAACAAATATGACTGAGAAACAAACAAAGAAAATACTCCAAATAAAATGAATATATTTCAAAATCAAAAACTGACAGAAGCATCTCATATTTTTCATTAATTTAATTCTAGTTAACAGTCACTCCAGTATTCAACAGAAGAATCTGCACATGATTAGCAAGGATTTCACGTGTTGTGTAACCCACACTTGGAAGCAGAAACAACGAAACAAATAACAGATCTTCAATCTTGGGTTGTTTTATTGTTATGTTTGCACCATGAAACTCTAGATTCTGTTTCCTCAACCTATCAGAAAAGTCTTACGTTTCCGACTCACATATAAAGAGAAACAAAAATGAATTTAAACTTTGTGGTTGGTTTAGCCATTGCTGTTTGCAGCAGGAGCAGCTCAGTGACTAAACAAACTGGTCCAGCACAATAATAATAATAATAATAATAATAATAATAATAATAATAATAATGTTTATAACCCATCTTATTTCCCTGAGGGGACTCAGGGCGGTTTCCAGCAAAATAACACAATGGCGAACATTCAGTGCCAAGAACAACAAATAACAAATCAAACCAGAGGGTAAAACAATCTCAAGAAAAATTATAAAAATAAATAAATAAAAATAAAATGGGAGTCCTCAAACATTCTAGATAATTGTTATGTGTACATCTCCCCAATGCATGTTTTTGTTGTTGTTGTGTATCAACAATATATGTAAAAGTATTAAAAGCCACACACATAAAAGATGGAACCAAGTCAAAGTACAAGATACTTACCATCAGGGAGTCGGGAAGGTAGCAACAACCCCCTTCTTCCTAATTCAGCTAGAGCCAAACATCCACCATGCCAAGCACTGTCAGTTTCCTGAAAACTGTAATTTTAGAAAACAGAAGGGTTTCTAAGTTTTACTGTGCATGTTAACTGTGTTTCCCAAAACAACCCCCCTGCTATATTCTGTAACTATGCATCAGCAGCATACAAAAATCAAGTTCAGATTTCCTCAAAGCCTATTGTTGGAATGGGATGTACATTAGAAGGCAACCATACAAAATGCCAGATTCAGAACCACATCCCAATCTAAGTCCCATTACTTTCTCTTCCTTCCCACGGCTTTTTCAACTTTTAGTGTGGTCACATATTTAAATTAAAATAAGATGACATGTCCTGCTAGTACAAGCAGCCTTTTAAGATGCAAAGCAATTCAGACTTTATACAAATTTCAGTATGGATTAAAACAAATGTTACAACTCAAACCGATATTGCCTACAACACTTAATAAAGTGATATATAACATAAACAGAAATTATTGGTCAAATCAGAAAACACTAGTATACATAGATAAAAGGAAACTTGCTCAGTGGGATAGTGGAGAGGACTATAATGCACTTTACTATCATTATAATCATCATTTATTGTTGTTGTTGTTGTCATCATTATTATTGTTGTTGTTATTATTAATATATGCAGGAGCCCTCATTCCTTCTGCAATGCAAGATGCAGTAAACCAGAAAACCCCTTTTTGTCTGAACCAGGAAAATATGTTCACCAACTTCAGAGCAACTCAGAGCAAATTTCAAATAATGACATTCTAAATATGGAATCATGACCATCATATTTTCCAAATTAGAATAAAGTGGCAATATACAGTTAAACACTTCCTGCCTTGATTTCTTGCACTGTAAAGGGAGGAGAAAAGGCGCTACATGTCCAGACAAAAAGTTTGTACACACAACTGGTCCTAAATAGCCAAGATATGATAATGCAAACATAGCCAATTTTCCACGGAGGAATTTATTTTAGAAAAAAGACAATATAAATTAAGATTCTTCATTTGTAAATACTAGTAAATAGAAAACATAATTCAGTAAATATAAAAAATCTTAATTCTTCCAACAAAATATTGTTTCCCTTTGTTTAAAAAACATTCACACATATTTTGAACTCAATAGAATCTAGTTGAGGACATATGTCAAATCTAATTAAGATTTTTTTTTTACAAAAATACTTTTATCCAGACATACACCACCTGAACTTGTGTACTTACTCTGTCACTGCTTTATTGTTATCAATCTTATTCCCACTATTACCAAGTATTCATTTAATGCTAGATATGAGCTAGGAAGTATTGATAAAACAAAGGTAACAACCTTCATCTAACTGGTTAACTTCTCTTTCTCTTTATCCTAAATTCAATAAACTACAAAGAAGGTGACTGGACATTATATTGGGATAGTGAAACAATGACAATTAAAAAGCTATATTAATTAATTACATTGATTCTACAAAGACTGTTTCATAGAGATATGTGTGTTTACAATATCCCTGAGCCGATGACAACTAAATTAATCATAAGATGAATATGGCTAGATAAAATCAAGCGTCCATATTCTTCACTGTTTTGGCATTACAATGACAAGACAAGGAGCCCCCAGGGGCACAAAGGGTTAAACCCTTGTACTGGCAGGACTGAAGACTGACAGGTTGGAGGTTCAAATCCGGGGAGAGAGTGAATGAGCTCCCTCTGGGAGCTCCAGCTCCCCATGCGGGGACATGAGAGAAGCCTCCCACAAGGATGGTAAAACATCAAAACATCCGGGCGACCCCTGGGCAACGTCCTTGTAGACAGTCAATTCTCTCACACCAGAAGAGACTTACAGTTTCTCAAGTCTCTCCTAACATGAAAAAAAAGACCACACAAATTAGTAATAAGAGGCATGCAATTTATACAGGCCTCCTATCTCTGAAATGGCTAAACCCCTTTAGGATCTGCTTCTATGAATGGCCATTATACATCTTGATAATATACTTTTTATGTTGGTTTAAGTTTTGGTCATCTCCAACTTCTAATGTTGTAAGACAAGCAGTGGAAATTTCTCTATTTACTATTTTCAAATCATGGACAAATTTATAAGCATTGTTTATAACTTTTTCTTGTAGGGAAGCACTCCAGCCATTGTTTTGATACTTTTTCCTTTACCCTTTTTTTACCCCTATGATAATCCTTCCCAGCAGAAATGCCCAGACAGTACATTGCTTTTCAAATTCTACAGATAATTTAAAAATCATTCCACTAAAAAGCTACATTATTTTAAGATGCTTACTCTTAAATAACTATTTGTGCGTGTAGGATTGTAGTTATTTACTATGGGACTAAAGAACACTTCATTGCCTTATGGCATTTTTCGATCATTTCTTTCTGTCAAAAATAAATGTTTGGCATTCTTTCAAACTTTTCTGTAACGCAAAGAATTACCTGAAGCATTCTAACACAGATCCAACCACATCATCAGCTAACTCTTTCGGTAACCTTCCAGTCAGTCTGCCAATCCTAAAAAGAAGCAACAGTTTTACAAAACTCAGGTTCAACAATACACATTGGACCTATCTATCCAACATCATGATTTTTGTAATTCAAAAAGAATTTGAGTTAATTTATATTTCTTTATCTGCACAGTCTGTTTAGTTGGCATGAATTAGCAACTGTACTCTGGTGGAGCCCTTAGCCTGAACTAAATCCAGCCATGATGGAACATGCCTCACCATTTTCATTTCTCTGTTGGCACCCTAATGATAACAGTGAGTGGAGTGTTGTTGTTTTCTTTACCCCTTGGAAATGTTGTCAATAGTCTATTCACTTTTAACAGCTATAGATAATCTCAGAGAAAAAAGTTGGCAGCATAAGCTTTCACAGACCAAATTTACTTCCTCAGATGCAACTGTTGGTCTTAAGATCATTAGTTAGTTTCCCCCACTTTCAGTTTCCCATTTTTCCTTCTCTGTCCTCACATCATCTAGTTTTCAAAAGGGATTGTTCCCAGCACATTTAATGAGTCCTGCAGAAGGCTGGACATCCTCCCCACTTTATTGGGGGCCACACTCAAGCAATAATTCCTTGGACCACCAGGCAGGTCTACAACTTTACAACATTTAAATATGGTATGAGGAGTAGTGAGATGTATTCATTATGAAAGGTGCCCAAACCTGAATCCTTGGCTTTCCAAAACCAAGGATTCAGGTTTGAAGGATGTGAAGGAAGCCAGGATAAGCTAAGAGAAGATTCCTGTTTCAAACTCTTGAAGAGCGAATACCAGTCAGGGGATATGACTGGTTTGATTCAATATAAGGCAGATGAGAGAACCCACTGGATCTTAGAAAATAGCTATAATTATTTTTTGGTATAACTCAAGATATAATAATAATATTATTACATAATATTATTACTATTTCAGAATCAATTTCTACATGTTGCTTTATGTAAGAAGTCTTTACCTCAAATATATTTCCCCCGAAAAAAAGTCAGTATGAAGGTATGTACTCTAAAATTGAATTCATTTTCCTTTAAATGAATTCAATTCCTTTCCTAAACAAAGACCACAAAAGAAAGAAAATAACCATGCCCTTGGACTCAATAGCCCCATGTGGCTGCTCTCTAATATTCTAAAATAAAATATTTCTGTCAAAAATGAAACTAAGAAGCCTAAGGCACAGGAAGGTAGAGGCAGAGATGATGCTGAGTTTCATATATTAACCTGACTTACTCATTCAACTTAATGACTTCAAGCTCTACTTAGAGAGCTATATTTTACATTTATAAGATTTATAAACAGATTTGGAACACCTACCCCTTTGCAGCAGACCATCTTACAATTGTATCCTTGTCTTTCAATCCAATCAGCAATTGCTCTGTAAAAACATTTTTTAAAAACCCAAGTTAGAGGACATCTAGCACACCTCCTTTAGACTTGAGACCTTGTCAAGATTAAATCGCTTCCAATAGGAAACTGTAGCCAGTTTCTTTTGGCACTTCACTAATTCTTGCTAAATCAAGAGATAAACATTGTCCACACCTTAATCGAAAAATATGAGGCAGAATAGTGGGGCCATCTATGTCAGTTTAATTGGAGTGAATACAATTGACTGTAAGCACTGTCTTTTTAAAAGAATGGAGACAAAATACACATTCGGAAAACACTGCAAAAAGTTAAGACACCACTTGCAACACAACTCAGACTGATGTCAAAACCAAACAGGCACAAACACCTTCTGTGAAACAAAATACACTCAATGCTCAGACTTGCCAGAGCAAGAATTGATTCACCATCATTTTGGATAAATGATTTGAAAGTAGAATTCAACAGTTCCCAACACTGAAAAAAGCACAGTGGTGAGTCAGTCATGGGCAGTGGTCTGTTCCACACCCATACTGTGTAATTCACAGTAGCTAAAAGGCTTATTCTATCTGTGTCTTAGCTGCCTAGGCCTTATGTGTTAAAATAATCAACAAAGACCATAATAATCAACAAAAAAACACATTTGACATTTAACATTAAGTGGTGGATCAGTTATCTCCATTTCACCATATTAATGTACTGTAACTTGTATTAATTGAATATATGTGAAATACCTTCCTATGATACTTAATTTCAAATAGACCTGCATCTGAACATACGACTACAGAGTCCATCTGATTTGATCCTGCATTGTTTGAGTGCTTTTATTTATTTACTTCATTTATATACCACTTTTCTCTGCCCTTGGGCGATTCATTATGCTTTTAAATAGTGTAATACATTTATACGTGTATCTGCAGAATGTTATCAGGCCACAGGTCCTTCTTAACCATAAACTGTAGGTTAATAGCAGATTATTTTCTTAAAAAAGCCAAGTGCTCTGAAGTGATCCAGTGCTGAAAGCTACAAAGCATGAAAAGACAATTATAGCCTTGAAAGCATCTCAACCACTTTAGCCTCTGGACGTTCATAGGATGACTCTGGAAGAACTGGTTTAATCTTAAACCTATTTTTAATTTTTATGTATGTATAAAGTTTTTGATGGCACAGCTACACCCAGAATAGCTATAGCTATTTATACGTAAATATCATAGAACAGTTTTTAAACTGTCACTCCACATGGCACCCTAAAAGATACAGAACTACAGCATCAGAGATCTTAGAGAATTCGCCAGAGTTGCAAATCCTAGCAAGACCCATATTTCAAGGAAGCCAAAATGTTTGTACTCGGAGTTAGATCTTGGAATTTTTTTCATAAATGTACTTTTTGGCCATTTTTATAAAATACATACTGGTGGAATTAATGTATCAATGAAAAGGAGGAGAAATGGACAAGTTCTTAATTTCTTTGTCATCGATCAGGCTTTCCACACAAGTATATTTTACTAAGGGAAAAGACACATTTGGGCCGCCACATTTGCAGATTTGATTCATGGAGTCGATTAAAATGTTCTTCTAGGAATTTCTAGAGCCTCCGATGCAATTCTATGGAGTCATGCTGGAAAACCTTGAGATTCATAAAACAGTATTCACCAAAGTAAAAAAAAAAGGTAGTTTTTTAATTATGTGTGGGTCCTGTACCCTAAACTTCACTAATATTATATGTGGTATATTATATCTATTATTCCCCAACTCACTCTGGGGGGTGGGAAAAGAGAAGAAATTATTATTATTATCATTATTATTATTATTCCATAGAATTTAACCTATCTCAAAATATAGTTTCTCTGAATAAATAACCAGGCAAGTAAATAATCTTCATCTATATTGGTCTTTTGGGAAAATATTATCTTGGTCTTGTAATGAGGTAGTAAAAAATGATATTCCTGTTAAATGCATGATCAATTCACATAATTAATTTTTTCAAGTTACATACTGCCCGTGAGGCTCAAAATTTTAACTGGTTTTTTTCTTCTTCAGTGTAGAAAGTTCAGCTACAATTTAGACATTACCGTTAGGTTAAGATAAGGATTTTCAAGTGTGTGTGTGTGTGTGTGAGAGAGAGAGAGAGAGAGAGAGACTTAGATCTCTATCTTTAAGACTGAAAAATATGCATTCCATTATTCATCCTGGGTGAAGAAGGAAGGAGAGGGAGACATGTTTCAAAAGTATCTAACAGAACCATAGCTATATATTTTCTAAAATGATAAATCGATCATGACTGAAATCATGAGTTTTTACTTCCCGGGCTAAATAAGGCATAAGCAGAAGCACATGCAAAAACTATGCTCTCAATGGCTGTGGCGTAAGAAATTATATTGCTTTGTCTTTGCATCAGACATACCTACAACGTTTTCAACCTCTCCTGGAATATCATATTCTTCTTCCTCTTCTTCCTCTTTTTTGACAGCACCTGCATTATCGGTTTTCTGTGTAATAGGGCCATCACCAGAAAACTGCAGGTTTGCAGCTAAAGATCGGAAACCCCGCTGATACCTAGAAAAAATGTATAATGTTTAGCATAGTCTAAGACATTAATGTTTTCTAAAAATACATTCCATAAGTATAATTCAGGCTGATTTCACTTCCTTTATATTTCTTAAAACAAGCGGCCTAATACTTCGAGGTAATTTGCTGTTTGCTTACTGTTGTATCACTCAAAAGTGTTTTGATGTGATGCATTACATATGTTTACAAATAAATACAGTGTCCAAAAGTCTGTTAACACAAAATTACAGTCATAATATAGTATAATCCCATGTAAAAATACTCACTGACTTTATTACAGGATAAGTACTTCGAAAAGCTAGAATATATTCAAAGCATTTCTCGTTCATGCTAAGGAGCTATGGGATGTCCCACAGAATGACTGGTGGAAATTTTACATCTCTGCATTGCATCACAAACTGCTTTAGAAACTCCTGAAATATCTCCCAAAAATACATTTACCATCTTTAAAAGGTATTTCCTTAAAAACTTTAATTCTCAAAGCCTGTCTTCACCCACCAACAGAAGGGAGAAAGAAGGAAGTAATTGCTAGCCTTCTTTGGTAAGGAGCTCCAAAGGCTAGGAGGAGCCACCCCCTAGCCTTTGTTTTAAAACATCTTTATGGACAATATTTTTAATAATTTTGGGCATGCAACAAAGTTTGTGTACACTGAAGCATCAGAAAGCAAAGTTATCACTCTCCCAGCCATCATTGTGGACAATTTCAGATTGAAGAATGTTTCAGATTTTGGAATTCTAGATAAGGGATGGTCAACTTGTAACATATACCTAGGCAGGGATAAAATATTTAGTCAAAATAAAATAGAAAAAAAAGCAGAGAACTCTATAATTAAGATTTGAATGCAAACCTGTCTTCTGGGGGGGGGGGGGGGAATACAGAGACCAAGATTTTTGATATTCGGAAATATATAGAGAGAGAAAGGTCAGAAATTCTGTAAAACTGAGCACCCCTATTATATAATGCTGCATTCTTAATTCTTCAAATATATATTATAGAATGTCCCAAAGTATGAACATACATTTGATGTTTCCCTTTAAAAAAAATAGCATCTAGGGATTCATTTTTATAATCTACCTTTACAAGGAACTTTCAAGCAGAGAACAAAATACAGGAAGTAAGTGAGCTAATGTAATTCGCAATATGTAAAGTAATGTACAACAAAGAAAGTGCTTCTCACATTCATGGATTACAAAGGTTCCTACACCTATATATTTAAACCTGAAATTCTTGTCACCCAGAGAATAGTTGATGATCTATTACTCATTCACCTCTAGCAATGATAGATTTTGTAGTTCGGGTTGGCTCAATGAAAGAGAAAAAGGCAAGCAAAAACACGAATCTGAGAAGAACAAACCTCCACTTAGCCACCTTTGGCTTAAGAAATGTCAGGCCAAGTCGCTGAACGAGTTTCACTCCCAGTTTGCGAAGAAGTGTTTGATTACTTTCAGACAGCTTGCACTTATCAAGGCATTCAAGCACAGTAGAAGCTACAAGAAACAAAAATCTCCATGAATATGTATAACAGACTTGTATTTTCCTTCCAATGTTTGATCCATAGTAGGTGTGAGATTGACTAATAAAAGAACCAGTTGGGTCTGATTATAATGAACCAATTGAAATCAATAGGACCAGGTAGTCATGAGTAAACCATAAACCCTGAATTAAGACTCAGATTTAACAAGACACCTGGCTCAATTTAAAAATAACTCAGAACAAGACACAGATGGAGGTCAACTCATTTATTTAGCCATTTTCACTGAGAGAAAAAGCCAAACAGGAGTGAACAAACTATATAAACCACAGTAAGCAAGAAATCTCAGCACTTCTAGATTAATATAATGTGTTCTGCTATTACAAAGAGAGCCAATCCTAGAACAGTACAAGAATAAGATGGGGAATTAAAAATTAATGCTTGACATGTAGAGAATTGTATTAAGCACGAAAGAAACAGTGAAGGAAGACCGATTATTTTCGTCACCTGAAGCAATGTTTGAGTATCTGACAGAATGTCCCTAAGGCTATGATATTAATAGAAGAACCAGTAATCCTGCATAGTTCTGCCATTGGTTGAGCGTTTTTTTCCCGAATATAGAAAAAATGCTCTGATCTTAAAAACTGATATGGAGACTATTCTATTTAGTTTCACATCACAGCTCAAAATTTACTTAAGTATAATTACAAACATTCTCAATAGCAATAAGAAAGTGTAATGTTTTCATCACCAAGGTGAGAAAGGAGATATTAATGTCAAGAATTATCTAGGGTACTGTTGTCAACTCTTCATACAGAGATGACACGTTGTGATATCCATAGTTGCAGGTGTTGATGCATATAGTTTGAAACTGGAAAATTACTACTGGGCTTCAGAAGCAAGCTTTCAGCCCCTCGCATAAGAGATGCTAAAGGGACTTGTTATTTGCAAATTCCAGTATAAACTGAGCAGTTTCACATCTCCCATATAATTAATATACGAGACACCCCTTGAATTCGTCACTTCTCCATTTTTTAAAAAAGTACAAAACTAAGTATGAAATCCTCTATTTATTTTCAGAAATGCCTGCCTGCTTTGAGTGAAACGGTTTCCAAAATCCATAGGATTAGAATGGATTTATGAAAAATAAGCCCAGAAACAGACTGATCTGTTCATCCCTACAACCCACAAATATACTTGTTCGCATGTGATGGGCCGATATGCACAGAAAAACAAAACTATTTATGTGTAGCATATGTGTGCAAATCAACTAAGGGTATAAAAAGCTGGATACAATTCAGCCAAAGGAAGCACCTATAACTGACTTGGATCCCAAGACAAGAAAGATACAGCTTGTAAGAGGTAACCCCCTTCTTACCCTCCTTCAATATCTGAACCCAGGAAACAGTGCTTCAGGGGCTACAGGAGATCTTGAACAGCTTAATGAGGCACAACAGGATGCAAGATAATTTTCTTCCAAATTAGGAGGAACCTGATAGCACAAGATGTCTCTAACAAATTTTGGGTGTTGTTCACCCTTTCCCATCAGTTGCTCTGCGCTGCATTCCATTCTGTTCCAAAGTGTTATCTCAACAGAGATTTGGGGAGGAAAAAACAAAACATCTTCTGGACATAGTTTGTCTTAAAACCACTGCTTTCAACGGGACAGCTTAGCAAATTGTTAAAATCTCTCCCACTGAAACCAATGGCCATTCACAACATTCAACTTAAGCCAAATCATGTTCACTATATTTATTTAAGATGTTGATATTACTTTGAAGAATCTTACCATATGGTAAACAGTCTTCTCTTTTTCCATGTTTAAAAAGTTGTGCCTGAAAAAGAGGGAAGGATCTGTGTTATTGAAATACTGGAATTTTAACATGTCCAAAGTAATATTCATCAATTAATAGTATTAGAATTTATGGGATTACAATGTCTTCAAATTTAAGTCCATCAGAAATTATATAAATATCCCTGAGCCTTGCTACTGAATTTATTTTATTAACTATATCCCATTGTCTGCTTTCTTAAAATCTAGGGTGCATTAATATATCAAACACTTTTGAAATAAATCCCAAGTTTCTTGTTTCTCTATATATTCAGTTTGTAGCAAAATATTAAAATAGATTAGCTTACTTTTTCGCAACTTGTTTATCTTGATCCTTCTACGTTACAAAATCTCTAATAAATAAAGCTATTTATTTATTCATCCAGACAACAATATACTGAGCAAGCTTTTGATTTCTTTGAAAAATTTTATCATTACTAAATGGTAAACAAAGTTTTACTGATGTTGGAGCCATGTAATCTCCATTCAAATAGTTTCAGATGCAAGATGAAAGAAGGTAGCAGACATTCAAACTGGGCTCTACTAGATGTTGTGATGATACCTAAGACTGTCCTTGAGGGGGAAAAAATATCCCTTAGGCAAAACACACAGGTTGCTTGCTAGGTAGAAAATAGAGCTAGAGACTGACACTTTTTAAACTGAATCATCTTCCCAGTAAAATATATATTAGAACAAATTAGAGAATGAGATGCCAGAAGTGACACACAGTATTTGTTCACAAATATTCCACGTACCCTATTAAATGCTCCAGAGAATAACATAATTTGGAAAGGCTAGACATATGCTCCTTAGTGTTTCTGTTTTTTTAAATAAACGAACGTGATTAAAATCTGCATGTAAAATATTTTCAGCTGCCAAACAATGAAGTAAGCAGATGTAGTCACGTTCACTTTGTTAGGTAAGAAAGTTACCAATATATTTCATTGGATGCAATGGATCTTCCCACTGACACAAAGCTCTTTGATCCAAGGAAAGCACCAGAGAAGCACAGGCTCCATCCCTCCCCAAATTTGACCCTGAGGACTGTGGGACTTTTCAGGAGGATTTATGTATTTAGTCATCAGGATGCAAAGTCAATCAAGCATCCCAAACAACACCAAATCTGTCATTATTATTAGCAAAGTGAATAAGTGGAGTGTGAATAAAATTTGGAAGTAAACTCTTTGCAACAGTTTGTAATATTAAGGAAAATAAAAAATAGGATCTTAATGGTTCAATATTATTTCTTCCATACTTAAGGGTAAGACCTGAGCCCACATTAGTACAAAGTATTATTTAAGTTATTCAGCAGTCACCTTCTATTTCACCTTATAATGGCATCATTAAATATTAAGTCTCCTGACTGTAAGGCTGCAAGAGACATCAGCTGATGTGCACCCAAACTGCACATTTCTAACTACACCCACTAATCAAGCACAACATGTAAAGATAATCATAATGAAATCTATATGACATTTTTAGGCTGTAATGTTTTTTAATGTTTGTGTATTGTATCCAGGCATTGAATGTTTGCCATGTATATGCTCTGAGTCCCCTTCGGGATGAGAAGGGCGGAATATAAATGTTTTAAATAAATAAATAAATAATGCACGATATAGTAATTTGCACTGCAGCATACATTGGCCATGTAACGTAAAACAATGAACAACAATGAAAATGAGATTGCTGCTCAATTCAGGGAATTTCTATAAAAAAAACTGTATAAAAAGATCAAATTAAAAAGGAGGACATAATAGCCTTTATATCTGATCAAAATTAGGAAAACTCACTGACGGACAAAGAGAATACCTCAATACCCCAACTACTGAGGAAGAAGTTTAAAAAGCAATAGATAAACTACAATGTAACAAATCACCCGGGCCATTTGGTCTTACTATAAAACATTCAAAGAGGAATTAACAACGCAATTAAAGGATGTGATTAATAATATATTAACAGGATCGAGCATTCTGAAATCCTGGCAAGAAGACAATATAACACTAATCCATGAGGACTGTACAGACCCCACCAATTTGAAAAATTACCGACCAATTTCACTACTGAATAGTGATTACAAGATCTTTGCAAATATATTAGCAGACAGACTAAAAAGACTATTGAAAGATAGAATTAAAGAAGATCAGAGCGGATTTCTACCTAACAGACAAATGAAAGATAATTTAAGAATAATCCTTGACATTATTGAATACTATGAGAAAAACCCACAAAAAGAGGTAGAGCTCCTCTTCCTGGACGTGGAGAAGGTATTCAGTAATACCAACTGGGAGTTTATGATAGAAACATTAAAAGAATTAGACATCAGCCATTACTTCCTGAATGCTATTAAAGCCATTTACTGCAAACAGTCAGCAAAAATTTTAGTTAACGGTACTGAGATGGAAAAAATAGACATACAGAAAGGTGTTAGGCAAGGGTGCCCCCTGTCCCCTTTACTATTAATAATGGTACTCGGGAAGAGATAAGGGAGGACAGGAACCTACAAGGGATGAAAATAAGAGCGGAAGAGTTTAAGATCAGAGCTTTCACCGAAAATTTCACGTGTATTGTGGAAAGACCTCTCGAATCTATTCAAAAATGGATTGAAAAAATAGAGAAATTTGGAATGGTGGCGGGATTCAAGATTAAGACTAAAACAAAAATCATAACAAAAAACATCTCAAGGGAAAGAAAAGAGGAACTACAAGAAATATCAGAAATTGAAGTAGTGAAAAAAATTTAAGTATTTGGGAATTATAATTTCAGCCTCCAATTCACATTTATTAAAAGATAACTATGAAAACACTTGGAAAAATATCAAAAAGGAACTAGATAATTGGAAATTCCTAAACTTGTCATTAATAGACAGAATTTCAGTAATTAAAATGAGTGTGTTACCCAGAATGATTTTCTTACTTCAAATGATTCCCATTCTTAGAATGAAGATTTGTTGCAACAAATGGAATAAAGACATATCAAATTTTATATGGAATGGAGAAAACCCCAGAGTAAAACTTAAGGTATTAACAGACTCAAAAAACAGAGGGGGTCTAGCTCTTCCCAACTTGCAACTTTATTTTGAAGCAAGTGCGTTAACTTGGGTAAAGGAATGGGCCACACAAGAAAAGGGAAAAATCCTAACATTAGAGGGGTTCGATCTCAGAAGAGGTTGGCATGCCTACCTCTGGTATGGCAAGGCCAAAGTTGAAAAAAAACTTCTCAGACCACTTCGTTAGGGCAGCACTATTAAAATTTTGGGATAAATACAAAGGATATTTTTATAATAAAATGCCGTTGTGGATATCGCCAGCAGAGGCTTTCCACAAGAGGGAAATTCCGAGTGAGAAATGGTATACTTATAAATACCTAATAAAAAAAACTAAACAATGAATGGAATCTGAAAACACTGGAAGAGATACGGGAATTTGATGAGAGGATGAGTTGGTTCCATTATCTGCAAACAAAAGAGTGCTTCAAAGAGGACAAAAAGGTAGGCTTCAACTTACAAGAAACACGCTCGGACATCATAATGCAAAAGGAGAAAAAACTAATTAAAATACTTTACCAAAGCTTACTGGAATAGGATACAGCGAGGGAATTAATAAAAGGAAACATGGTTAAATAGGCAGAAGATATTGGGCACTCAATACTATTAAAGGAATGGGAACATGTCTGGAAGAACAAACTAAGATACACAAAAGCCACCAATATAATAGAATATTGGTACAAAACATTTTACCGCTGGCATTTAACACCAGTACAACTATCAAAATTCTACAAAAACTACAACAACCAATGCTGGAAATGCGGGAGGGAACTAGGAACTTATTTTCACTTATGGTGGGGTTGTAAAATAACCAAGAAGTATTGGACATTAATTCATAAGCATACTCAAAATATTATCTGGGTAAAATACGACATGAAATATTACTTGCTGAACACAACACATTTCGAGATGGGAAAAAACGAAGAGAAGATCTTGTTTTATCTGTCGGCAGCAGCAAGAATAACAGTAGCTCAGAAATGGAGAGATAAGAATGCTCCCTCAACTGATGATTGGCTATCCAAGATTGTAGAATACATGAATATGGACAAACTGACACAATTATTAAAAAATCAGAATAAAGTGAACCAAACCAACTGGAAACCGCTTAGAATATATCTGCAGGAAAAAATGAAACTCAATATCTAGTAATTTAAAAGAAAAAGACATCAGAGACAAATTCGCAAGAAATTTTATTTTTGGATGATTATCTCTCTGTGGAATGAACTGGAAGCCCCGCAACCTCCCTTTCCTCTCCATGTCTCGCCCTCTCCATTCCCTCCTTACCCCATACCCCATTCAACCAACTTATATACTTTCCTCTCAATTTCCCACTTTCCTGTCAATGTGCTTGTTCCCCCTCTTTAATTGTTATTTTGAAACGGTGGCAAATAAAAATGATTAGTAAAACAATGAACAACAACAACCTAGAAGGATGTTTTTTGATCTAGAGTGAGCTATAGGTATGACATTAGCACAAGTTTACACAATTCTGCATAGCTGAAATCACATGAAGTCAGTATTTATAAAACACACTTTTAACAGATTTCAAAATATGCAAGAAATCACCCCACATTTTACTTAGAGCAATTGCCCAGATAATGTCCATTATCGAATTAGTATGGTTGCTATGGATGTCAGGTAGTATAACACAAAAATGAGTACATGTGGGTGTGGGTGTGAACAGGGGTGGATGCAGAGAGGGACATATGGCTGAGGGAAGTTCAGGATCCCACCTAGTTAGGAGAGGAGTCAGGCAGTGAGCAATCAGAGATAATAGGGATGCCCTTTTCTGTTCTCAGACTACTTTACCAGAGAAATGTAGGGTAACACTAAATACCTAAAACTCCTATGTCCCTTTCATGTACAACGAAGGTGGAAGCAAGCCACCAGATGAGGAAGAGTGGAGGGAAAACCTGACCACATTCAGCTGGCATTTCCAGGAATTAGCTGGTTTATCTGTT